CGCTCCCAAGCCAACTCTTAACCAATGAGCCACTTGGCCGGACCTCAATCCATTTTTTTTAAAGGAGTGCTTAAAAACACCCTGCCACATTTAGGATATTCACTGAGAAGAACAATACCTGAAAATAACCATGCTACTTTCTTATTTTTCCAACTCCCACAATATACACACTATGTGATTTTCTCTTTCCTTGGTGTTTGGGCTTAAAAAAAATCTAAAACTTGCTTTAAATATTGTTTTACACATCGTTTTGAATTATGTGAATTTAAAAGTCAGTATGGGACTGGCCGAGTGGCGCAATGGTTAAGAACTGGCTTGGGACGCCAGAGGGCCCCGGTTCGGATCCCACATATGAGGGCCAGTGACACTGCCCTCCACAGCTAAGATGCTGAACAACAGCTCAACCTGGAAGCTGGGCAGCCGTGAGTCGCCAGCGACGGCGTAGGCTGCAGTCCCTGCTGCAGTGGGTTGCCATGGGCTACCATGTGTAGCCAGCAGCCAGCGTGAGCGGCCAGCAGCCGCAGTGAGCGGCCATCCAGAAGCCGGCGACTGATCTGCCTCGCCCGGGAAGAGCGCAATGATGGTGCCAACTTGGGCCAGTGAAGCAACGTCCTCCACAACTAGACTGAAGAACAAAAACGACAGCAACTTGTCTGTTCCCCTTCTCCCAATTCCCCAATAAAAATCTTAAAAAAAAAAAGTCAGTATGGTCAAAATACGGTATAAACATAGACTATTATTCAGCCTTAAGAAGGAAGGGAATTCTGAAACATGCTATAACCTGGATAAACCCTGAAGACATGCTAAGTGAAATAAGCCAGGCACAAAATACCAGTTGTTACATGATTCCACTTATATGAGGTACCTATAGTCATATTCAGAGAAACAGAAAATAGAATGGTGGTTTCCAGGGGCTGAGAGGAGGACAGAATGGGGGGAGTGAGGTGGGAGGGGTGGTCAGTGTTTAATGGGAATGGAGTTTCAGTTTGGGAAGATGAAAAAAACCCTGGAGGTGGATGGTAGGGATGGCAGAACAACAATGTGAATGTACTTAATACTCCTAAATTGTACACTTAGAAAGGTTAAAATGGTAAATTTATGTTTTGCATGTTTTATCACAATAAAAACATCAATATAGCATATAAAGATAATGCAAAGGAAAAGAAAATAATTTCACAGACATCAAATACATTGCTCAAAATATTTCCGACTCCATAATGTGACAGCTTTAGAAGGGGCACGTGAGAGGGTCTGGTTCAGTACTCTCATTTAAACACATAGAAACTAAGCCCAGAGCAGGGAAGCAACAGCTCATGACCACAAGGGCTATTAACAGTAGAGTGGGGCCTGGAGCCCAAGTCTCAGGGTCCTTTCCCTACACCATGTTGTGCTTTCTCTGTGCTAAGTTTGCTCGAATGGATTCTGTCTCTGCTGTGCATTCAGTCATAGGTGCCATGGCCGTAAGACTAATTAATGACCCTGCAAATCCCATCAGAGTCTCTGAAAATCACAAACTAGCAAGAAGCATTACAAATACCGGTATGGTTCAGTTCCACATGGCCTTGCAATTGCTCAAGAGGACTCTGGGGCCCAAGATAAATAATTCACTTTCTATAGTAATCAGGAAGAACAGGAAAATGTCTCCTTTCCTATTTGCAGCACAAGTATTACAGTACAATCTAAATTTAGGATCTCGTACCTTTGTGGCAAAGCAGGGGCAGTTGAGATTAAATGTTAGCTCTGAATTTACAGTTTTATTAAAGCTTGGATTATAGCTGCTACAAGATGTTCCATCTATGAACATTTCTTTGTGAACTTCTTGATTCCTATGGTTCCACTGCCTGTGTGATTACACCTCCAGCTATATGACTGCTTGGGTTTCTAAGCCCAGACCCTTGAGGCCAGCATAGACTCAGCTAAACCTGAACTTCAAGGGCTCCTTCAAGGGCCACATTGCCCTTTAGTTCCCACCCATACCCTCCCCCAGGCTGGGCCTGTTGAGGGACATGCTCCCCTGTCACCCAGTCCTACTTGCCTGGGGTCTGAGAAAGTAAAACTCCAGTTTCACAGATGGTTTTCTCATCCCCATCTCAAAGCAGAAGTAAATACTGGCTAAATGGATAGCTTTGAAGATATGGGCTTTGAGTCTGAGCTGATTATTTTAACATTCTTTTAAAGAAGAGACAATCTGAGGAACATAGATATGATATTGGATTTATGTGACAATATGAAAATATCAGGGTTAGTAGACACTAAATCAGCTACAGCAGGGCCTTGGCAAAGCTGCAATGTCACGAAAACATGTTCTCAACGAGTCGACTTTGTGTTCCAGTGGCCTCATGTCGAGCGACAGAAGCCTAGTAACTGAGAACTCAAAAGGCTCTTCTAGACACACTGATCGTAATCACACCACATCCTCTCTGATTACACACATTGGTGAGGTGAACAGAATCAATTCCCAGTAAATATGAGCTAACGAAACTGGAGACATGTTGGGGCATTAGGCTGCTGTTTCTAGTGGGGAGAATTAGTTCTATGCTTGTGATGTGCAAGAGTCAAGCGTTTTAAAACACTGAAACGTTACAGCCAGACTCAGTGTCTGAATCCATGCAACCTCCCAGGGAGTTTTCTGGGACAATGTTTTTGACTCTGGTTAAAGCTGGTCAGCCAGGCAGCCAGCAGCAAGCACGGACTAGGTGTTACTATGCAGGGAGATGGGAAACGAAGGCAGAAAACAGAGTTGTGTCCCTGGTCCGGGGAAGCTTAAATTAGTAAGAGCTGGCATTTTGTTGAGGGCTTACCATGTGCCAGGCATTGTGCCAAGTACTTTCTATGCATTATCTTGTTTAATCCTAACTACCCTGTGAGGCGGTACTAGGATTACCCCATTTTATAGATGAGGAAGCTAAAGTGCTGGGAGGTTATGTAACAGTTAAGTAAGGACAAACAGTTGCTACACTGCAGGCAGGATTCAGCCTCAGACCTCTATGATTCTACAGCCCATGACCACACTGCCTTTTCACAACCTCGGAAGGCCACTCACTTACAAAAATATAAAAACACACTGCCACTTATCAGATTTGAGAGGTTCCTGATAGTCACAGGTATTACATCTCTGGCTTTGATGCTTCAGGAGACCCATGGTGCACTGGGCACATGCCAACTTGCCGTCTTCCTGAGGCATGACGGAGCAGCACAGCTGAGAGCCCAAGGTGAGGGCAGGTCACCGAGCCCGGAGAGAGCTGGGCCTGTACCAAGTAGACTAATTCGGTGGAAGAGCAGGAAATGTCCTGACTGATATAACCTTCTTACTTAAAAATGTAGTTTGAGTTCTTTCAAATATAAGAAAATAGCTGAAATGGGTACACTAGTGTTGTCTGGAGAGGATTTATTTTAATGACTACATGAGGTTATTTATGATCAATATGTGAATAATTTACATTTAAGTAGGTGTTTTTAGAGCAGCGGTTCTCAACCTTCCTAATGCCGCGACCCCTTAATACAGTTCCTCATGTTGTGGTGACCCCCAACCATAAAATTATTTTCGTTGCTACTCTATAACTGTAATTTTGCTACTGTTATGAATCGTAATGTAAATATCTTTTTGTTTTCCGATGGTCTTAGGCGACCCCTGTGAAAGGGTCGTTCGACCCCCAAAGGGGTCGCAACCCACAGGTTGAGAACTGCTGTTTTAGAGAATTAGAGGCTGAATATTATTGTTTGCGTCTTTTTAAAAGTAGCTTAAACTGCTCTCTGAACTCAAACTGCTCACACTTTGGACAGTCTGAATAGATGGTAGCTGAAAAGAGGTGACTGCTGTGCTGAGGTGACACGATCTAAGGAGAGATGTCTTGAAGCACAGAATTCAAGTGAACGGAGTGGGGCTAATCAAGGAAGGCTTCTTGGGTGAGGTGAACAGTTTCTCAGCACCAAAAAGATACCGTATTTGCCGGCGTATAAGACGATTTTTTGGCCCTGAAAAATATGCCTCCAAGTGGGGGGTCGTCTTATACGCCAGGTACACTTCAGATAGACTGCCCATAGTGCTTGCCCCGTGCCATAGTGGCCTCCCGATGCCCGCCCACTTCATTCCACATACCGTTCAGGCTGCTTGCCTATGTTCCTGAGAAGCATCTACGGTATCAGTCTATAGAGTGTGTTTTCTTTAGTGAATTACCGGTATGTTTACCGGTAATAAACTTGCACTGTTTTATGTATATGTTTGATTACATACAGCCTTGTGACAGTTTTCCTGCATGTCATAAGTATTTGAATATAAATTAAAATGTTGAAATCAAATCTGATATTGTTTTACCTTTTATTTGGTGTGTGGAAGGTGTGCGGAAGAGGGGGTAGTCTTATACGGCGAGTATATAACAAACTCTGTATTTTGAGTGGAAATGTTAGGGGGTCGTCTTATACGCCCAGTCGTCTTATACGCCGGCAAATACGGTAAGCCTTTCTTTGCTAATCTTAAGTGGTCTCTGTCCCAGCAACTACAGGATCCAAAATAATCAGAGCCTTTGCTGCTCCCTCTGTTTGGACACTTTTCTTCGAGTCCCTCTTAAGCCCAGCTCTCAGAGGAGCCTTCTCTGACTTTCTAATCTAAAGCCATTACTCCCTTATGCCCCGCCCCTAAGATATTTTTTTCACATCACCTAGTTTTACACCATTTAGCATACTTAAGTTGAAACTATCTTCTAATTTCTTTGTTAAATTTCATATTATCTGTCTTTTCTTACTGGAATGCAAGCATCATGAAGGTGAGATCTTTTCTGTCTTGTTCACTGTGGTATGCCCTGAGTCCAGAATTTGGTAGGTGCTCAACAACAACAAAAATGTGACTAAATGGATGGCCGAATTAAGCCATCAGGTCATCATCATACTAACCCCGAAGAGGGGAAATCAGCAATTTTATTTCTCCAGAGCAGATCTGTACTGGAAAGATATGTGTTTGATCTATGACCAAAGGAAAAGGCCCCATACCAATTTCATCTCACCTGTTCTGCTCCCACCATACTAATTGGCTTGCACTTGAAGAGGTGGGTGATGAACTTGGGGATGAAGGAACTGTGGATAAAAAAGAAGTGACAAATTAGGCTTATTCTCTCTTCCGGCAAAAAAAATTTTTTTAGGTCCCACTTCCTTCCATACAGAAACTGAGAATCGAAGGAGATACTTCTGTGGCCTACCAGCATCCATTCCTTTCTTTTTCTTTCCAGCTAAAGCCTTGGCTTTACTAAGTGTACATGGCCTTGGGATGTCAAGGGAAAGTTGATCCCTCCTAAACTACAGAGGTGAATTCTAATTAGCCTCAGCCAGTCAGAGTACAGCATTCCCTTGGTGACTGTTGTTGGTCCTGAGGTGGGGACATGATGATCTAAGCCGGCCCAGTCAGACTGGAGGGAAGGATTTTATAGCATGGCTGGGGCAAGACTCTCTTCTTCTTTAGGGTATTCTGGTATTTGGTTATATCATGTAGAGCAGCCATTCTCCCACCACTCTGAGGATGAAGCCAGCCCCAAGGAGAGCAGGGTAGAATAAAGAAACTGTGTCCTTAATGATGTTGCTGAACCACTGAATCAACCATCCTGAATCTGTCCCTACTCTGGGTTCCTGGTTATATGAAATAAAAAGTTCACCTTCCATTTAAGTCAATTTGAGTCAGAGCTTCTGTTACTAGTAGCTGAAAATATCCTAACAGATATGAGAGCAGAATATACATGAGGTAGTTATGGGATCTTAAATCCAAAAACACGCATACGAAGTAATTGTTAAGGAGTAACTGTCAGATCAGGAACGAAATATATGATCTCTCCAAATTTATTGGGGACTGATAATGATGCTGGTTTGGGGAAAGAGAAAGAAATTTTAACAGGTCAGGAGGGATTTTTAGAAAAAAACTGCAGAGGCCTGAGTAGGGTAAGCTGGGTTATACTGATGTAGAAGGTGTGGAAACTAGAAATGCCTAAAATCAAGGCCAGAGCCAGCGTGACAGACCAGGATGTGTCCTAAGGGCCCATGACCAAAGGAGGGATGGTGGCAATACAGCAGCATTTGCAGGCTGAGATAAAGGCTGCCTAGCACCCTCTTCTCGCTCTTCAAATGCTGCTCTCAGGCTGGTGACCTCCATCCTCTCATCTCTCTACATCTTTTCCCGTACACTTGTGCCCACTCTAATATCCAGTGACTTACTGGACATCCCACTGGAACAGCCCACTGGCACCTCAACTCAGCATATCCATGATTTAGCCCCGCCCCAGAATCCAGGCTCAGCAGACTGGATCTCATCTACCCAGTCACCCAAGTCAGGAACCGGGAGTTATCCAAGACAGCTCCCTCACCCTCAACCCCAATATCCAATCAGTGACCAGCTCTTCCCCTGAACTCCCATATCTGTCCTTGCAACCATTCCCACAGCTGCTGCCCTTTCTCACTTGAGCTCTTTCAATTGTTTCCTAACTGGTTTTCCAACCTTCAGCCTCATCCTTTCTAATCTACCTGCTGCCAAAGGAGTTTATTCCAAATGCAAACATGATCAAAACCCTCTCCTGATTAAAACCCTTTTTGTAAACCTGCAGACAAGGCCTTCCTTGATCGTCTTGATACTCGGTCCCCAGACTCATGCGAAGCCCTGGCACCCCATGCTTCGACCTGGCTGAGCAACTCGCAGATCCCATGATTCTGCAGGTTATTTGATGCCTCTGTACCTTTCCTTACATGGTTCCCTCTGCCTGGAAGGCTCTTCGCTACAGCCTTATGGGTCAGTACACACAGGTCTCTTGGACTCCGCTGAAGGATATCTCTCCTATGAAGCCTTTCCTCAGTCACCATATTCTTCCCACCGTATTCTACACAGAATCCACAGACTTCTAGCCAAACATCTAACCTACTTCATTACACTTATGTGCTCACTTTTCTGTTTCCCTCCACTTGACTGTAAGGCAAATGAAAATAGGGACCATGTTTACTAAGCCAAAGCACTTAATTCTGTGTCTGGGACCTAGCAGTACTCAAATGAATGCATGTTGAATAAATAATCATGTAGCAGCTGCCACTTTTTGAATGTCAGCTTGGTGCTAGTACTCTATCAGAAGTTTACAGACGACTTCTCATTCTATGCCCTCAACCACTGTTAAGAGATTTGTCTTATTAGCCCCATTACTGAATGGAGGAGGATCAGCGTGGTGAGCGAGGGGAGTCACTTGTGTTTCAAATAGTAGTTTCAATCAGGGGCGTGATCTTAATGTCTAAATAGGAAGGACTGTTGCTTCAGAGACCGAATGGGGGGAAGAGGAAACTTCACCTAAGGTTCTGCATTGGTGGGACAGGAAGTTAACGGGAAAGGAAGTTAACCGCCAGAGATCAGATCTAGGGGGAGGTCTGCTGACCAGGGGGAAGAACAGGACTATTTTCAAACCAGAGCCAGGCCAAACAAGAATGTAAGATTGAATTCGTGACTAATCGCAATGGTACACACACAATGGTAACCTAGTCTATAACACTAGGCTACTTTACACTAGAGTAGGCTTCGGTTATGCCCTTGAACTGGATGTGTGTGCTAGTCTACTGGGGGTGGGTGGGGAAAATGCAAGGGACCAGGGACATGTCTTTGGGGGAGAAGTTCCAGCAATGTCGTGGGTAACTGCTGTGGGCTTCTCCAGACCCTTGGGATGGTGGCAGCCATGGCTCTTGGCTGGGGAGGCCCGTACCTCTAGGTTTCTAGTCTTTCACTGGGATTCTACAGGGATGAGAGGGTACCAAGGATTACATCAGAAAGCCACTTTCTAGATCCCAGGTTAAACTTTTCCAGATGTGATAGATGGGCCTCCTATTCCCAGCTCACCCAATATGGGCTTAGTAATAAAATGAAAGGGCTCTGAGAAACGGTGAGGCTGATGCTGGGACTAGCCACATAAATGAACCCCTTACTCACTTTCATGTGAGCTCAATCAGTATAACCACACTGGAGGTTTTGGGTCACAGTGAACTTTTACAGAGATGCTGTTTCTTTCAGGGGCTATAGGGAACATGTGATTTTAACACACACTAATGAGCACCCAGAAAGAGAAGGGAATATCAACCCCTGGTTCATCTGCCATACTGCAAATGTCGATGCCTCTCTGGAGAGCCCGCTGTATCCTTTCTTGACAAGCTGGGAACTGAAGCTGATGCCGCCAGCCACTCCATGATTGTTGTTCCTTAGGGATTTATTTGTGAGGGAGAGGAAAAGCTTTAATTGAATACAAACGGGGAGAGATTTGCGGAAGACAGAAACTTGGAGTCCTGTATTACCCTTTGGGACCTGGATGAGAACAACCTAAATACAGTAGCTTGGACTGGGCTGACCTTCCTGCAGCCCTTCCCTGAGCAGTTTGCCAAAGCGCTTGTTTGGTAATTGGTCAGAGGCGGCACTGACCCGCTACAGTGTCTGGTCTCAGGGGAATTAGGGCTACAGCCAGATGCTGGCTGACTGGCAAGGGACCAAACAATTTCCCCGCTTCAAAACATCAAACTAGAAACGGCCACACACGAGGACGTGGCAGGAAGACACGCAGCTTAGTGCTATCTACCTTTGCAAAGAAGCGCCCTGACTTGCCCTTCCCAATTTCTAGGACCTTCCCTGGACTCAAGGACATCCCCAGGTGGATAAATCCTGGCAGCCACAGTGACAAGTACTATGGGGAAGGAGGATGAGAAGGCTCAAAAGAAACAGAATCGATGGTTCCTACTCTTAAAAAGCTTTTATCATCTGGTTGGAGAGCCAAAATGTATATATGAAATCACTGAAAAAGAATTTTAATTATTCAAACCAGGGGGGAGGCAGGGGCACAGTTATGTCCACATGATTCAAAATAACAAGACCCCCCCCCCCATTTCTCTTTGCCTTGATATGGTTGATGACTGTATTGCTGTTTTACTGTTACCTGTGGCTTTAGTTTTACTGTTATGCCTCTTTTGGGGACAAAAACTTAGTTGGCCAGCTGGCACCAGAATAAGCTCCAGCTGGATGGTGGGGACACCTGGATTACGAGCATGCTTATGGTAAGTATGGCACCAAAATAACCCAGTGATGGGAATGTTCCAGAACTTACTTTGCAAATTTAATGCAGAACTGAGTGAAGTATTTCCGTGTCGAAGCCAGGTTGTCACGGATGATGGGGACGTTCTGCTTAATATGAAGAATGACAGAAGTGACATAGGGGCTCTGGTCACCAACGTGCTCCACATTCTGCCACTGCATCTGAAAATGGAGACAGGACAAGCCTTCAGATCCCTCACAGAATGACAGATTTATCTGTTACCTGGGAAGGGGCAGAGGAGAGTGGAATTTAGGCCATCGCTTGCCATCACAGCTGCCATTTTGTTTTGGAGAGTTTGTCTTACCCATCGGTCGTGGCTGATTGTTAATAAAAACAAGTATGCCCACCTTATTCTTGACGGTGAGCTGTCACTCAGGCATCTTTTTTTTTTTAACCCTGTCCCTTTCATGCTTGAAACAGCCTTCCCTTCCACCTAAGTGGCCATCTTCTAAAGGAACCCTCACCAAACAGATGAATCGGATCCTATTCTTCTGTCAGCTATCCCACCAGAATGGGATTGTAGGAGAACAGGAGAGGGACATCAATTCCTGAGCAGACTGGTAGCTTGGGAGGCCAGAGAGGTGGCTGGGCTAAATGAAATGAAACCCGGACGAGAATTAACTTATGCCCCTCTCTCAAGTAAATTGGGAGGAGTTGGAGATTTTTTAAAAAGGAAACTAGAAATGATATGACATGTGAGGCTTGCTTCAAAACATCTGGGGTTGGGCAGAGTAGATGACACAAGATTAGCAAATCTGGGTGATGGGTACCCGAGGTTCATTACTCTGTTTTCTCTACTTTTGCATATAATTGAAATTTTCCATACTAAAACATTACACGCTTACTCCTAAAACATTTGGGATGCTGTCAGGATTTCAATCAAGGGAAAGGAGAGAGGCTCTCTGGCAAACCTGAAGGGCAGATCAGAGGGTTAAGTGACCAGGAACAAGGAAGGAAACAGGCACAGGGACTGTGTGGATGGCAGGGACGGGGGAGACGAGCATCACTGAGAGGACTGATGTGGTCCTTGACTAAGCCAGGAACGAACATGAGACCTGCTTGGCTCAAACTCTAAGAGCCTGAGCAGAATCAGGGGAAATGATCTGGAAAACATCTACAGTAAAATGGAGAAAGAAGCAGTGCTGTAGTGTCTCTCCCCACTTGGGTATATATAGGAGAGGAGAGGCAGCATCAGCTCCTGGCCCTTCAGAAGCCAGAAGCGGCAGATGGGCACTCTAGTCCTGAAAAGAGTGGGAGTGTCCACGAGGAACTCTGCTGAGTCAGCCTCTCAGAATGGAGCTGGGCTGTCTGTTGAAAAGATCCTAAGCCAAACATAAACCATATAATATGCTCATGGAAGGAGGGCAGTAGTTCTGAGGCCTTGATGTCTCTGGCAAGAAAACACTATGTTTATAGAGCTCTTGGGGAAAGGAAAAATTCAATACTGAGAGAACTTGTTTAAAAGAATCGGATTGTACATGGATGATTCCCCAGCTCCTGGGAAGCTCAAGCAACACTATGTTTTCTTCTAATGTTTCTTCAAATTGGCAGATGTTTATATTCTAAAAGCTTTGGGGATGTGTAGGCACAGAACCATGGAAATGCAGGAAGGGACGTCCATTTTCATGTTACATGAGTAGATAAGGAAACCAAGGCACAGAGGCTTTAAGTCTTATGCAAAGTTTCACAATAAAGCTCCAGATAGAAAAGGGAATCCAATTCCTAACTGGGGAAGAAATAAACACAAACAATGGAGAAACAGTACAGACGTCTACTATGAACGGACTTTATATTCTAATAATTTGCTTATGTGCAATGTTTTCCTTATTTTCATTTATCTTATTCAAGAAGCTTCTTTTTTTCATTTGAATTGAGAGATTCAATCCATCCAAACAATGAGCATCCTAGGTGACTTTAAACGAGCTCAGAGGGCAAGACCCAAATTGACAGGTATTGTCAATGTCTGCACTTCACCTTGTTTTCCCAGCTCTGCAGCAACACTCAGAGCAGAATGCTCTGGGGAAACACAATAAACTGGGAAAAGAGCTTGACTGACATCCCCACCCTCCAATTGACATGAAGTGCTTCCACAGTGATGACTACTGAGTTTCTCAAGTTGCCAGCATTTTATATTTCAACATCCCAAGAAGTTAATAAACAATTAAACATTACAGTTCTCCATTAATAGGAGACCATAAACAGAGGTGGTGACATGCCCTGTCATTGGTGACAAAGCAATTTCGAAGCAACGTGGAGTGTGGGATGTGGGACTTTAAGCTCCCACTAGTGAGCGAACTCCTCCTGTTCACCATCAGCTGTGTCACTTGCCCACATTTGGAATATATGCAAAAAGATCTGATTTGCTTTAATACTTGAGCCAGTTATGACTCCACTGGTCAAGTTAACAGAACTATTAGCAAAAATCAAGTGGATTCATGATTTTAAGTTTAAGTCAGCTTGATGAAGCAGAAAACAATATAAAGTACTGGAGAACAAAGAAAGCTGACATCACTTTTACAATTTTTTAAAAAAATGTGCAGGGCCAGCCAAGTGGCTCAGTTGGTTAAGAGTTGGCTTAAGAGTGTGGGCTCTGAGCAACAGGGCCGCCAGTTCAATTCCCACATGGGCCAGTGACGCTGCGCCCGAGCTGAGCTGTCGTTGAGCTGCCAACAGGTGGCAGGATGGCTCAGCTGGTGTAAAAACAAGAGTACCTGTTCGATGGATACTAAGACTGAACTCGGCACCTTGAGTTGAGCTGCAGCTCGGATGGCTCAATGGATAGAGCGTGCGCTCTTAACAACAAGGCTGCTGGTTCGACTCCTGCATGGGATGGTGGCTACGCCCACCCACAACTAAGACTGAACACAGCACCTTGAGCTTAGAGGCCATGAGCTGCCGACGGGAAACCACATGGTGGCTGGCGCCCTCCACAACGAAGACTGAAGAAAAACAACTTGGCTGGTCTCCCTCCCCAATTCCCCAACACTGTTCCCCTCCCCCAATTCCCCAATAAAATCTTTTTAAAAAATGTGCAAAATATAGTTAGCCCTGATTCTGTCCAGTCATTGTCTCAGATGGTTGATGACTTAGGGTTTGGGTTTTAACTTGAATGTCCCAAGGTACCTATATTAGGACTTACCATATGTAGATTGCTTTGCCTAGCACTTTGAGTACATCATCTCATCTACTATTCATACATGATCTCATATAATATCACATCATAGTAATCTTGTAAATGAAGAAACTCAAAAAGCTCAAAGAGGTTAGGTAACTTGCCCAAAGTCACACAACTGGTAAATGGTAGAGAAACGACAACCCAGACCTGTCTGAAGCCCAAGCACTACACCAGGCTGCTTCCTAGAGACTTATTAAAAAATAATTTTTTTAAAAAAGAATAAAAGCACTTACAGGGCCTTAGTTCAAGGTAAGCCCAGTTTCTCAAGGAGAAGCTAATGAAATACATAGCGATCAAGCAAAGCACTCTTTCAAAAAAAAGAAAGAACAGGGGCCAGCCGAGTGGCACGTTGGTTAAGCGTTGGCTTGGGACACCAGTTCTGAGAAGCAGAGCTCCGGTTCGGATCCCACATGAGAGCCAGTGACGCTACGTCCTCTACAGCTAAGACGGTGAACAACAGCTCAACCTGGAGCTAGGCTGCTGTGAGTTGCTGGCTTCGGCCTAGGCTGCAGAGGGCTGCCATGAGCTACCATGAGTGGCTGGCAGCCAGTGTGAGCGGCCAGCAGCCAGCATGATCTGCTGTGAGCCACGGTGAACGGCCATCCAAAGGCTGGCGGGCGACTGCCTCACCTGGGAAGGGCGCAATAATAATACCAACATGGGCCAGTGAAGCGACGTCTTCCACAACTAGACAGAACAAAAAGACAGCAACTGGTCTGTTGCCCTTCCCCAATTCCCCAATAAAATCTTAAAAATAAATAAATAAATAAATTAAAGATAGAAAGAAAGAAAGAAAAGTAGCTTGTATTGAGAGAACAAACATCATGAAAACCCATCAGTAGAAATAAGACTCCAAGTTTTCCAGCTAAACTTGGCACTTGACATTTAAAATTTACCCCTCCATACTTAAAGTTTTTCCTTTTGTGCTTTTTGTTTAGGAGACGGGGTGGGGTTGAATAGTACTGGTACTATTTAAACCACAACAAAAAGAGTTTGCAAATAAGTAGTAACTAAGATGTAGGGTTGATAGAAACACAAGCAAGGAAATGATAAAGGAAACAACGCTAGAGGCTCCCGAACCCCACATGTAGCCACAGGGACAGACTGTGGGGCCCAGGGCATCACCACTGCCCATGGTTTCTGTCGCCTAAGGAACGAGTGTGTGGTTGATGTCAACACTTCACAGGGAAGGTTGCGGAGATAATCACTCCCTAGAAAGAGCCCACTGTAGCAGAGAATTTTGACCAATCCACTCATCAGAGAACAGAACTCTACGATCAGCTTACTATGGAACTTGGTTTTCTCTGTGGCTATGTGAAGCTTGAAAAGAGGTCTCCTGAGAAACTAATTTCCCTCAACTGAAAATTCAAATTCCCACTTATTTGTTTTGATCACAGGACTACAGATATACAGAGCATAGACTCAGACATTTGGATTCTGGGAACGTTTCAGACAACTGGAGTCTAGTGTTATGGTTTAGGATGCTGGGACAGTGGCCCCAAGCAATGGCCTTTGACCAGGCACGCATGCATGTATGCACTCTAGGGCTTGTCTGGGTTACTCTTACTCATACAACAAGCATTTGCTATATTTATCGGTACCATCTGCATGTATAGTACTGGACCAAGCCTTATGTGGGGAATAAAAAGGGAGAAGGAATGTTTTTTGAGCACCTGCTATGTACCAAGCACCATGATTGATATTTTCACATGAACTTACTGCTTACAATAATGCAGTGAAGGAGGTATTATTCTCCTGTTTCATAGATGACAAGACAGTCTAGAGGACAATAAATGACTTGCCTAATGAAGAATAACCGAGAAGTCAGCAGGGCCGAGATCTAGAAATTGGTTCATTTAACTCCAAAGTCCATGTTCTTTTCATTTTACCATGCTTTCCAAAAGAAGTGTTACTTACCACCTGAATGAACTTGAAATTGGCTGAAGGAACTGGAACAAGCAAAATCTACATATAATGTGAGGTATT